ATTGGAATGGAATCACGAATTCTAATTCTGTTGGAATTGAATTACGAATTCCAATTCTGTTGGAATCACAGAAGTTGATGCTTGAAGAACGGACCATAAAAGTGAAAGTGATTCTAAGCAACATTATTCTTTTAGAATGTTTTAGTCGTTGTTAGATTTTGATGTTTTCTTTCCCGTTTTGAAAGTTTTTTTAGTTTTATTCTTTAACAATAAATGTAATTCTTAACAATTGTTACCCGTATTCTCTAAGAAATAATGTATTTTTTGTTTTTATTCTTCAATTGATTGTTCAAGAATTTGTTATTCTACAAAAAGTTTTTAAATTCATGATCAAGAAATAGGTTCAAGAATATTTTTATTATTTATGGTTCAAGAATATTTTTATTTTTGAATATACTCATAAACATATTCTGTCAGAATGTCCGAATTAAAAGAATTATAATTCGTAAAATCGGATTTTTAAAATTAATAGAATCTATGATCCCTTAAAAAATGCAATTTTCCTTTATTAAATCATATTATTTGACTAAATTACTCTTCTAATTAATTAAGATGATATTTTTCAATTATATTTAATTCAATAATATATATTAATAACTTTCTTAAAATAAGTAAAATTGATTGGCCCATATTTATGCATACAATAACACAATAATTAGTTTGAATAGAATAACCTAGGCCTATATATATATATATATATATATATATATATATATATATATATATATATATATATATATATATATATATATATATATATATATATATATATATATATATATAGCAAAATAATTGTGGAATAAAACTATATTAAAGTAAAACTTCAGGATAAGCAATGTACTTAACTATACAATGCCTTAATATCTTATCAAATATATTAAAGCAAAGATATATATATATATATATATATCTATATATATATATATATATATATATATATATATCTATATATATATATATATAAAGGAAATTATATTAAAGGAATAACATTATATCTAGTCGTCATGCAAGGTCATTTCTCTAGAGTAACATAGTACCTAGAGCTGGCCAAAGGAATATCATTATATCTAATCGTTACTCTCGTTAAACGGATAATGGTAATAGATTATGCCGTCTCTACGATCGATTCAAACGTATAATAGTAGTATGTTAGACCATCTCTCAGCTTTTATAATTAGGGGTGGCAATCCCAACCCGAACCCGCTAATCCAACCTGAACCCAACCCAATAATTAGTAGGTTGGGTTGAGATTTTGAACCCATTTAATTAAATGGGTCAACCCGTCTAACCCGTTTAATTAAATGGGTTGGGTTAGGGTTGAAATTTGTAAGGGGTTGTTTGATATTGGTGCTAACTCGGTCCTCAATCAGAAGTTGATGTGTTTGATTTTGCCTGTTCATGTTCATTGTCGGACTCGGTCAAAATAAAGGACTTGATCCAAAAATAGTTGATGACTCGGTCTTCATTTCAAAACCTCCTGACCGAGTTTTGCCTTTCAGTCGGTCCCAAATTACACGTTTTACCCCTTGCCCTTGAAATAGTTCTTCATTGAATTAGGAGCAAAACAAAACCAAAAAGGACCTTACGCTGCTAAAAAACGTAGCAAAGAAGAGTGACAAAGAGCGGTATTAGGTAGAGAAAGTAGCGAGACCTTGAGATCAATACCTTATAATGAAGCAATCGCTAAATGATCGCCGATTTCGTCTTTGATTTTGTCATTATTCTCATTAGTCACTTCCTGTCACACGAACACACCCACTTGCAGGTGAGAGAGAAAACTTGGAAATAAAGTCAGATATGGCGATATAAGGAAGCCCAAATAAATAAATAAATAAATTTTATTTTTCATTAAATCCCTCGTATGTTTATGTTATTTTTCATAAAATCTCAGTTAATAGTATTTTATTTCATTTCAAGGAAATACAAACAAGACAACGAGACATGTAGCTATAACAAAAAGAAACGTTATGGATAATTTTATTTTATGGTCCTTTGATTTTAGACAATTTTTTATTTAGATTCTTTATTCATAAATAAATGATAATAAATGATAAGTTAATTAAAAAAGAAAGTGACAAGAATGACAATTACAAAAATTAATTGGTAAAAGATAAATAAGAAATTAAAAAAAAAATACAACTATGAAAAATAATATGATAAAATAATGTGTTGTAAATATAAGGGTAAAATAGTGATTTTTATCGTTTAGTAAAGATAGTGAGACATATAATCAAACAACGCGGTTTCAGTCATAAGGTAACTCAATCAGAATTTTTAACTTAGTCAATTTCTAACTCAGTTAGCAACTATCAAACGACCCTAAATCGTTTACAACCCGTCTTTAAAAATTTTAAAATTTTTTTAATTTATACTTATTTAGTATTATTATTTAGTTGATCTTAATATTTTGATTATTTTTTATTTATCAAAAACCATGGGTCAGTAGCTGTTACTAGAATTCAAGTTTGTAAAAGTGATAGTCGAGTTGCGTAGAATTTAGAAATTAAACAGTCATAATGTTTTATTATTATAAACACTTATTTATGTTTGTGTTATAGGCCTATAAAGTTATTGTTGTATGATTTTCAAACATAAAAATTATTATAGCTTTTAAATTGTATGTAATTTTATTTGATGGATTATTTGATTTTAAGGGGTTCTTTTCATGAGAATTTAAACGGGTCAACCCAGGTTTAACATGTTTAGTAAATCAGTTGGGTTGGAAAAACAAATAAACATGTCAACCCGATTTCAACCCATATATTAAAAAAATATGGTTGGGTTAGAAATTTTCAACTCGTTTACTTAAATAGGTTGGATTGGGTAGAGATTTCAACCCATTTAATTAAATAGGTCCACCTGTTTATGACCCAACCAAACTCATTGTCACCCCTACTTATAATGGCTATATCGTCACTCCGCCAGTTTGGCTTGCTAAGAGTATCTACTTTAAATATAATTATATATTAATAATAATTATAAAACCATTAAGATTCTAAATACGTCATAAATATACTGTTATATAGGTTAAGGTTACACGGTATCTGATTAACCTACACTGAGTATGAAAGTTTACCCTTAGTGATCCTACCTTGTAGATAAGAATACCCACTTTTCCGTAAAATACACTCCTAAGACATGAATACGCTAATCAAGGATGAAGGAAACCCTAGTACCTATGCATAGTAAAATACTATTTTTCAAATCAAGGAATCAAAATACTTTTACAACTTAACAAAGCTCTATACAAAAAGTATTTTCAAAGTATAATATACAAAAATTGTGAACTTACCAACATTACGTTGAACTTTTTAAAACTATATGTATTTCTAGAAAACCGTGAGATGGAATATTGCACCTCCAGAAGCAATGGTTGACCAACGAAACTATCGAAGATTTTTTATCGTTATAGTTATGCTTACCTATCGAGGCATCTTTTTGTATTAGAATTTCTAGAAACATGTTCGGATGTAATATTTTTATCCATAATGAAAGTGATATTTATGTTTTATATTGTTTTGTACCGTTCAATGTATGTTCAGTGTCTGTGATCCAACGTCCTAACGTTGCACAGTTCGGCGTTTCCGCCGACGGCCGAGGGTGTGGCAGATTGCTTAGTTTTTGTTGTTGATTATTGTCATGTTGTAGATGTAGGATATTTTAGACATTAGCATTGATATTTTGATGTTTAAAAAAGAAATATATGATATTCTGGTATTTATGATATTTTGATTTTTAAGGACATATACGATATTTTGAATTTTTATGAAGGGTAAATACGATATTTTGAAATTAAGTTGGACCAATATGATATTTTGATGTTTATAAGTGTATATGGACATACATAGCAAATTCTAATCTAAAAGATAAGTTAGGCAGTTACATGTATACGAACGTCTATATAATTGGTTTACAAAATAAATAGTCCTAATCATTCGCATTAGGCTTCAACACAACCTCTCAATACTATTTTAATTGCTTCTCAAAATATTACTAATTATATGTCAAACTCACGCTTGTTCCATTACATCAATCTTAATCAATATAAGCATATCAAATAGCCCTTTCCGTTTCCGTTTTTTATTTTATTTTTACTTTTTTCCAATGAGAACTAATCCATCACCCGTGTAAAATTTTATGGTTTTAAGTAGTCTTCGTAGATATTTAAATAGATTAAACCAATCAAGATGATTACCGTTGATCTAACTTCGATATAAGGTAGATAATTAATCGATCTATTGTTATTGGAACGGCAGTGTTTGGCATTTTGCGGTTGGCCGGCCTCTCACCACACCACCAACGTAGTAATTAATCTTCAAAATGAATTATACCACTTTCCAAGTCTTGTATTACATTTTTTACTACAAAAAGTATAAAATAATGTATTTTGGTAAATTATGTTATCATTTCACACACATAATATGCATATTCAACTATGCATATATATATATATATATATATATATATATATATATATATATATATATATATATATATATATATATATATATATATATATATATATATATATATATATATATATATTGGAAAAGCACAAAATATGTATGCAACCACATTTCGTTTTTTTTCTTGTTTTCAAGTTGTGATCCAGACGCCAGCATTAGAATCTCATGGTGTTGTTGGTTTTGAATAATTTTGTTTGGATTTTATTTAATGGCAATCTATTCTACTCGTAAACCACTCATCAATTTCATTTGTGTCCGTAACGGAACCCTCAACCTCAAGGAAGGAGGATACGTGATACTTTTGTGCAAGAATTGAGTATTGACATTTATATATATTTGAAATGTTGAAGATGAAATGAATCTGAATTGACCTCCAAAAGATGGCATTTTGGGATTGGAGGTTGAATGAAGCATTAGAATTTTACGTCTATCCAAATGAACAGCCCACTTTCTTTCCCTATCTGTTTGAATATTATGTGAGAAAGCTCAGTTTGTCTGCATGCAGTAGCGTATGTTCTTCAAGGCATTAAGAAAATGGCAATGGCCGGCCACGTACGTTAGTTTCTGCTTTTTCTCCCTCTGTTTGTCTTCTCCTTCCGAGCACCATGATTCTTAATAAATTATTCATCTTTAATTTTCCATATAAATCTATGTTCACCACTACTCGTTTCATACATTTATGGGGTGTGATAATTTTCAGCTAATAACAATCTTCATCTTCTTTGCCATGTCTGTTTCTGTACCTTCACTCGCTTACGATCACGAAGATCAAGAACAAAACACAGAGATCTTCACCTCGTGTTTACTTCAGTTTGGTGTTCATAACTTTTCAACTCAATCAAACTCCAACAATGATTCATCAGTTTATTATCAGCTTCTCAATTTCTCCATTCAAAATCTTAGATTTTCCGGATCAAATTTGCCGAAACCAACAGTTATTGTGTTCCCCGAAACAAAAGAACAGTTGGCCAAAACCGTCATCTGTGCCAGACAATCTGCGCTAGAAATCAGGGTCCGGTGCGGTGGTCACAGCTACGAAGGGTCATCATCAGTAGCCATGGAAGGACGTCCGTTTGTGGTGATTGATATGACCAGACTGGACCATGTTTCAGTGGATGTGAACTCAGGTAGTGCGTGGGTTGAATCGGGTGCAACCCTTGGTCAGACCTACTGTGCCATAGCTGAGGTCAGCAGTGTCCATGGTTTTTCAGCCGGATCTTGCCCAACAGTTGGAATCGGAGGTCACATTTCCGGTGGTGGGTTCGGGTTGTTGTCCCGGAAATACGGTCTGGCGGCGGATAATGTACTAGACGCGATTCTAGTAACCGCCAATGGCGAGTTGCTGGACCGCCAGGCAATGGGGGAGGATGTGTTTTGGGCAATACGAGGTGGTGGTGGTGGGGTATGGGGAATCGTGTACGCTTGGAAGATTCAATTATCAAGGGTACCTGAAACTGTCACCAGTTTTATCTTGTCTAGACCAGGCACGATAAAACAGATGACAGATATAGTAAACAAATGGCAACACGTCGCACCAAAATTGCACGATGACTTTTACCTCTCGTCTTTTGTCGGTGCGGGTTTACCCGAACGAAAAAACAAACCCGGGATATCAGCCACATTCAAAGGGTTCTTTTTAGGACCAAAAAGTAAAGCTATATTCATCATAAACCAAGCTTTCCCCGAGCTAAGAATCGTTGAAAACGACTGTAAAGAATCAAGTTGGATCGAATCCATTTTGTTCTTCTCGGGATACGGAGTGGGGAGCTCGATTTCGGATTTGAAAAACCGATATTTACAAGATAAATTGTACTACAAGGCGAAATCGGATTATGTCCGGAAACCGATTCCAAGGCTTGGGCTATCCACGGCTCTTGAAATACTCGAGAAACAACCGAAAGGATATGTAATTCTTGATCCCTATGGTGGCGCAATGCAATCTATAAGTAGCGATTCCATTCCTTTCCCTCACCGGAAAGACAATCTTTTTACTATTCAATATCTAGTTGAATGGAAAGAAACTGATAATGATAAGACCAACGACTACTTAGCATGGATACGAGGTTTTCATGGATCGATGACGCCCTACGTATCATGGGATCCACGTGCTGCTTACGTTAATTACATGGACATTGATCTTGGAGTGATGAATTGGATAAAAACTAGGGTTGAGTCGAATGAGGATGATGCAGTGGAGATGGCTCGGGAATGGGGTGAGAAGTACTTCAGTAAAAACTACGATCGATTGGTGAAGGCAAAAACACAAATCGACCCGTACAACTTTTTCAGGCATCAACAAAGCATCCCTCCAGTGTCGTTGGAGAACAAGAATCAAACAGCAAGTAGATTGAGTGAGTAACTTAACTACGTAAGGAGTGTTATATATGAATTGAATTGTTCCTTGGTTTTCTTTTCATGTGTATACTTTGTGAAGTTCCCAACAAAAGTGTAATAGAATACAGTTTTAATTCGTTAAAAACTACTTATTAAATTTGTTAAACTAAAAAACGAGAATTTATTTCCTCACATATAAAAATAAACTTATTTAAATTATAATATATGGTTAATTACTTAATTTAATAATAAAACCAAATATTCAGTTTCTAAATCCGGATTATTTAGTATTCGAACTCTTCCTAGTAAGCCTGATACTTTTATCTTAGCTGGCTATTTTTTGAAGGATATTTTGTGTATTATGATATTGAGTTAGATTTATGTAGAGATTTGAGTAATAAGAGATGAACCGTAATTTTTTAAGCTGAAATGTGATTTTGTGATGGGATCTTCAGTTCATGAGTTTTGGAGCCTTTGAACTTGATCTGCGGGACCGTGATCAACATTGAAGATTTGGATGTTATTTTTCTGTACTTGAGAAGCTTAAGCGTTTGAAGCGGATTGACCTTTAATGAAAGAAATTTCATTACCTAGACTCTGAGATCACACCAGCTTTAGGATTCACAAGAATTTTAGCATTTGTTTTCTCGGTGTGTACCGTATTACAAATATTCATTATTCAAAACCTTTATCACAGGTTTATACTCTTCATAATTTGCAAGAATTTAGAAAGATTGTTAAAGTTGGTAATGGTGTAAACTAATGAAATACTTAGGTTAAAATATTTCTTTTTATGTGAGACATATTCCCTCCTCTTGTATAAATAGAAAGAGAATTTAGGTAATTTCTATAAAAGTCCTCCATCGTGTAGTCATTTTAGTTAGAGAGAACGTGGAGTAATTCCTTAGCCACTTACTTAATTTGTTCTCCATGTAGTATTTAAGTCTATCTATTACATTATTAATTTGACTTACTACAATCTTCATTATTGTTCTTATTCCATACTAAATGTCAATCTCCCATGAAATCCAACAATATTAAACACCAAGACTTCCGAGGTCCGCTATAAAGAGAGTTACACAACCACCATAGAAGAAAGAATCAACTTTCTATGTAGAAAGTTTACATGTGACTTTTGAAGAATCATTAACCACACATCCTGTTTAAAGATATTATTACCTATCATAATTTTCAAATAAAAAAGTAATTTGCCTTACAAGATATATGTGAAGTTTCTGATTGACAAGAGCTCTTATAAAAAGTAAATTGGGGATTCCACATATATCATACATAGTATCAGTCTATTAGAACGGATATCAGCACCCAAAGAAATAATACTAATGCCAAATTGTGGTAATTAAAGAATAAACTAATTAATACTAATAATATAACAAGATAAATAAAAAAAGTAAGTGATTGGTAAATGTTTAGTAAGTAGTAAGTGGATATCAACACAACCCAAATTCTAATCTTATAGGTGGATCTCTTATTATTAAAGAAACCATCTTTTCACTAAAAAGAAAAAATAGTGTGAATATAATAAAAAAAAATAACCAAGTCATTACCGTTGGACTTGTTTAGGAGGCTTAAAGACCCTTGTATGAAATTCTAAGTCTTTATTTTCTTTTAACATCTTACTAGTGTGTCTTAGTAACATCACCTTGTTAAAAAAACAAAAACAAAAACTTTGAACACATATAGTTTTTCTTTTTAATGACGAATGCATTAAACAAAAGAAAACTAGCAACACATTAACAAAAGTTACAAATTACAAGCATGTGAAGGGGAAACACACCACTTAAACCAACATAAAAAAAAAGTAACTTTAGAAGGAAACTTAATCCAACTAAAAGTCACAAGTTGGATGTCATCTGCGGTCTTCAAAGGAGAACACTTTCTCTTCTTGAAAACTAAAGTGTTTCGAGCTTTCCAAATACACCAAATAGCCCAGTAAACCAAGGCAAGGCGAAGTTTACCCCTCTCCTTTCCAACATCTGAACCAACCAAAGACTTAGAAAGTTTCTCTCTATTTTTCGGGGAACCAAAAAAAACATGTCCGGCCACCAAACCAACTCCAAATGCAATCAGAAAAATGACATTTAAAAAGATGTGATCAACCTCTTCTTCCTCCAGATTACAAAAAAGGCATAGAGAGGAAGGTAAAGCTATTCCTCTAGAAGAAAAATTACTCGCCATAGGAACCCGATTTAAGAACATTCTCCAGACAAAACAATTAGACACAGATAGTTGTTTTTTCAAGAATATATATATAACTATCATATTGTATAATATTATAACAAATGATATTATAAAAATAATGGTATTACCTTAAGAATTTATATTCTTCGATTATATATATAAAAATAGATTTAATACTTATAGTTTTGGTCCAACTCTTGAATGTACGTGTAACAATAAAAACAAGATATACCTAACTAAGCATAGCTAGGGACGTGCATCATTCAAATTGTTGAATTGTTGGGCGTCATTATCACTTGTGTTGATAAGGAAATTTCTTTAAGCTCATTTTATATATATATATATATATATATATATATATATATATATATATATATATATATATATATATATATATATATATATATATATATATATAGTTAGGTTTATGTGAGACGGTCTAATTTTGTGAGACCGTGGGATCACTTTTTTCTAGTGAAATATTTTAATATTCTAGTGTTTATAAAAATTAAATATGTGTAATATTATAATATTCTAAAAAATAAGTTTAACATATTTTACATTGAAATATTCTAAAACATATAATGTTAGAATATATTAGATATTTTATTTTTACGAAAAATAAAATATTAGAATATTTCACTAAAAAAATTTGGTCTCACGGTTTCACAAAATTATGTTCGTCTCAAATCAACTCTTATATATATATATATATATATATATATATATCTATATATATATATATATATATATATATATATATATATATATAACTCACTAGTGAGCCGTAAATATAGCTTATTATATACCGAATAATGTAAATATCTTGTTCTGATTTTTTTTTTTTTTTTTTTTTATGTATGTATGTGTTTTACTCTTCATTTTGCTTGCGGTTATATATATCCTACTCCTATATGTGAATTTGTATTCCTACTTTTGCAAATTCCCATCATAGTTTACAAATATTGGTCAAACTGATAAAGCCTAGCTGAAAAATATCTATCATACATCCTTAAACCAGTCCAAGTCATGTGATTTGATCATTTTTCAAACTGGCCATGAAAAGAGATCCAGCCTAATCAAATTGCTTTGATGTTTGAAGTGTCAATTTGATCAGTTTCGATCAAACCAAACAGTGGACATTCCCTATCTAAGCCTTATACATACGCAACTTAAAGACTTTCTAATCAATAATCCAGAATGGACCATCTAAATATTGTACAAACTAATTAATCATGTAGGGTATGTTCCAAAATTTTATTATTAAAATCATACCATAATGTTTATTATTTTCAAAAGTAGTACTTCTAAAATGTTCAACAATTTAAATTAAACGTACATGGGATCAAGGTTGAAGTTTTTGAGATTCAAACTTGGTTCAACTTCTAAAATATGGTCCGTAAGTTAAAATCATATGTTACCTTTGAAAACGTAAACCATTAAAATATAATCATACAGATATTGATTGACCTAGAAAAGGTTTTCCCGAAACTATACCTTCAAATTTATGTTTAGATGTATGGGTAAAATCTGACATATTTATTACAAATAACCAATTTGGATTATATTTTAACGGATCAAATGGATAAAAATAAGAAAATAAAAACAGCTAGAAACTACGAAAAAAACAATGAAACATGATGAACGGATCGAAAACAACTCAATGTGTATTTCAATGCATACAGCTTCCAAGATTGTTTTATCTAAAAAAAATTTTTTACTTATAATCATATTTAACACACTAACTACTCATAGATGAAATGGACAAATATGGGCGCTGAAATGAATGAATTGGCTCTTTTTCAATTATTGATTTGGGAAGGTTGGCGTGTGCGGATGTTACATTTCTGTTTTTCTTTTTTTGTGTGTGTATGAATTTAAACCCAAATTAAATACTATAGGGTGGGGTGGGGTGGAGTGTTATCCTTGTGTTCTTCTGCAGACTACAGACTACAGGTGAAACATAATTTACAGTCTGTTTTGTTTTGTCTTGTGGACGTTTTTTTTACAACAAGACATTCTACACTAAATTAACAATCAATCTTACATGCTCATGGCTTTTGATGACACACCTTCGTCAAGCCCTTCCCCTTCCTGCAAAATATGAAGAAACATTAAAAGTTTATTTTACAGGAGCTAACAAGCGTCAAACAACCTAGTACACTTGAGTATTGTTTATGTTTAACCTTTAAAGTGAAAAGTGGATTTATGATGAAGAAAGAAAATAAGGATGAGTAAGTGGATACCACTTCTTGTTGTTGTTTGGAGTTGGTTTTTGCAAGATACTCATCTAATGCACCTTCACGCCGAAGTATTTTTCCACCACACCCCGGTTTATCTACCGACCCAACCGACTCCTCGTCAATCACCACCGCTTCTATTCGATCATTTCCCGTCCCCACATCCGGAATCTAAACAACAGAAGGGCAAATAAGTAATTTGAAACCTGAAAAAAATTTCCTAAATTTGAAGCAAGAGGTGAAAAGAAAAGTGAAGTTAGGTACCTCGTACATAGAATCGGTTAGAAGGTTTTCGAGTATGGCTCTTAAGCCTCTAGCACCCGTGTTCTTAATCATAGCTTTTTCAGCAATCAATCTCACTGCCTTCTCTGAGAAATGTAGTTTCACCTGCATGCATGCATGAGAAAACCTTTCCATGATAAACCAACAAACTTCAAACAAATTCTCCGTTTAGACTTTAGAAAGAAAGGATAAAACAAATGCTTACATTGTTCATCTGAAACAACTTCTTGTATTGCTTCCCAAGAGCATTTTTTGGTTCCATCAGCACCTAACATACAAGTAAATCATGTTCATATATATATATAACTCCTTCATTGAAAGGGAAATTGTACAGAATAGCAACCTACTTCACTTTTGCTACTGATATGTGACTTTTTACTCATAATAGCAACCAAAAGAACATACTTATTTTACTTAACCATAGACATAGATAATAGTACCAACATCAACAACATGCTTGCTTACATTTTTTAGGTCCACATGGGTTACATTACATGTTGCTGTTATTGGTAGAGAAACATAAGTACATTGGTATTATGGGGATGGGGATGGGGCTGGGGAAAAAACAAAATATTAGCAAAATAAGATAAAGTCTGTATGCAATTTTGTGTTTGATAGAATAGAATAGAATAGGTGATGTGATGTGATATTAACCTGAACAAGTTGGTCCTCGGTTAGAGCTGATAAACTAAGTAAAATGGGAAAACGTCCTATAAACTCCGGAATCAGTCCATAAGCTATAAGATCACTACTTTCAACCTGACACAAAGAAAAAAGAGTTGATAATTAATTACAGGAGAATGAAATATGCAATATGCATAGAAATCCAAAAAAAAAAAAAAAAAAAAAAAAAAGGAGATGATAGTGATAGGCTGAAAGCTTACAGATTCAAGTAAAGATGATGTGACTGAAGCGTTGGTGAGTTTAGCATTTCTCATATTAGCACGAACAGGTGCTCCAAAACCAATTGAAGAATCCTGTCGTCTGTATAAACATTAAACAAACATGCATGACATCACTTTCAGATTCAACTCCCCACAAGGCACAACCAGTAATTCATAGAAGAAAAAAAAAGGTTGACTTTATGAAACAAAAAGATAGTAAATAGTAATCACCTCTCGGATATTGTTTTTTCCAAATCGATAAACGCTCCCCCACAAATGAAAAGGATGTCTTTTGTATCTATCTGCAATGCAAAGGAGATAAGACTTAATCTAATATATATTATACTGTATGTGTTTCTTTTTTACTTGATACAGAAAGTCACGGAAAGGAGGCTTATTTTAGAATTTTGGCCTAATTTCAAAAAATACCTGAATATTTTCACCCCGAGGATGCTTTCTGGCCCCTTTCTCGGGTACATTGACTATCTGTGCAGAGAATATAAATAATAGTAATACTTGGTGTTAGTGATAGATAGTCATAAAGGAAACTTAGATAAGAAGAAATAAGAGAATTTATGGGTACAAATACAATGACTTACTGTTCCTTCCAACATCTTGAGTAGAGCTTGCTGAACACCCTCCCCAGAAACATCTCTGCTAACGTTCAAGCTCTCCGCCTGTAAAATCATTACAATCAAAATTTCTCAGAATTTAAAGCATCCAACATGGAAAACTAATTCAATATATATATATATATATATATATATATATATATATATATATATATATATATTTTAAAATGACCTTTTTGGTTATCTTATCCACTTCATCAATGTAAACCATCCCTTGTTGTGCTGCTTGAACATTAAACTCAGCAGCCTTCATACCAAATCAAAATTCAAAATATTAAATAAACTATTATGAATAAATAAACATGATAACCACTCAAATGGCTAAAAACATAAATTCAGGAACAGGTAACAACTTACAAACAGAAATTATATATAGGGCCAAATGCATTGTACTTTCATCGATTTGTTTATTATATATAGCATCCTACTTTCTATTTTTTTTTTCTCATTACAGCATTTAATTTGAAAAGCCAACCCAATTTGTAATACTTCTCCATAAGGTTACCAGTTGACTTTGAGGCTTTAAAGAGTAGACTACCTGTTTTGTGTATCTTTGTAATAAAAGGGTTTATTAGGGGCAATTAGGTCTTTTTCCCCAGTTATGTCAGTGCATAGCTGTAAATAACTAGCAGGTAGTATGTCATAGTTCATTTCAGTGAGTAAATTCACTTTTGGGAGAGCCTTCACATCTCGAATGTCAAGATATCATCTGTATTGCTTTGATTTTAGCACCAATCATTCAACCACAGTATACCATATATGTTACAACTTAAAGAAAGAAATATAATTACTATTCTCACTTTAACTTGTCAAACTAGTTGAAAGCATTGCATTTCACAACCACATTAAAATATAAACCCAGGCTCAAAAAGAAAACAGTACTTTTAGCTGAAAATTCATATTGGAAAGATATGCAATACGAATGAATAAATAAAAGCTATACCGTAAGTAGCTTATGTAATATAGATTCAACATCTTCACCAACATAACCAGCCTGCACAACATAACAAATAGGGTTAAATAAATGCTAGAAATAGAAACACACTTTCATTGATTTGTTTAATAAGGCATCCTACTCTTATTTCTTCCTATTAAAGCATTGTATTTTTAAAAATTCTACCCATCTAAATACAAAACAATTTTCACTGCAATAATTGGAAAGGTTTTTCAAAGTATAATGTCCTAATAAGAAAAAATTTGAAAACATGATGCTATATTTGGGTGCATTTTCAAAGATCTAAAGGAGTTTAGAAGGACCCCATTAATCAACATGATCCCGTTTAATTCTTTCTTAATACATTCTTCAGGTCAATACATCATAAATGAAGCAACACAAGTAGATTATGTGCTCATCTATAGTATTCAAAACAAAGCCACGCATATCCATATTTAGTTCATCTCCATAAAAACACAAGATGTTATATCTGATTTACCTGTGTTAATGTTGTTGCATCTGCAATTACAAAAGGAACATTAACAAATCGGGCAAGGGTCTTTGCAAGTAGAGTTTTCCCTGTTTTAAAGAAGACAAATTTATATCATCAGCCATCTGCAACCAACCAAAAAGAAACCAATGGAAACAAAAAAAAAACAAGAGAGACAGCCTTGTAGCCATACCCGAGCCAGTGGGGCCCATTAAAAGTACATTGCTTTTCTCTAAATCTACATTATCATCATCATCTTCCATCCTTCCTCTTCCTTTTTCTACTCCTGACCTAGAATTCAACACATAATTTGATAATTTCCATTCAGCATATCTACTTCAATAAATGAAAAGTTTTATACTTCAAATCACTAACCCTTTCTTCAAGGACGCATGATATATTCTTTTGTAATGGTTATATACAGCCACAGAAAGCACCTGAATATAAAATGAAAAAAACCAGTTTAAAAAATATAACAAAAACATCAAACAATATAATGTCTTTGCAGGAATGAAGTATTAGAAAGATGAAAAAAGGGTTAAAGTTGCAACCTTTTTGGCACGATGTTGACCGATGACAAACTTATCAAGCCCATGGAAAATCTCCTTAGGCGTAGGCAGATTCTTCCCCAAATTCGACCCACCCCACCCGCTACTCTTCTCTCCACCACCACGTTTACCGTTTTCACCACCACCAGGACCCCCTGCGCGAGTCACATTGATGCTTGGTGCAAAAGGAAGGCCTGGGGGAGTATGCACTGCAAGTCCGGTGCTAGATGGGGGAGGAGGAGGAGGAGGATGAGAAAGATTTGTCCAATTCTCCGGCGGGTCACCACCGTAAGACCGCAGTGTATCCCAAAACGAAGCCCTATGCTTGTTTCCATAATCCTCTTCACCATTAATGTGTTTCTTATCCTTCCCATTACCATTTCTAAACCTACCGATTTCAACAAACCTACCCTGAAGAGGAGACATTTGATACGGCTGGAACTGGTAAGTAGATTTACAGTTGGGGCACAAACTCACCGCTTGATGACCCCCTTTCTCATCCGGAACGGAACTGGGTTCCGGCGGGTCACCCCATTCATCTCCAGGAGCGAAACCGGTGGAAGGTGGTGGAATGAGGTGACGGTTATCGGAGAAAACGAGATCCATCTGTTTACAACAACGTGGGCAGTTAGCTTCTGCCTTAATCTTCCGTATCATCGTCGACGTTCTACTGTTATTATCATCACCACCACCATGCTCCCATTTGTAACGAGCTTGCGCACCAATTAACGACCTCCGACGAATGTGCGGACAATCGACTCCGGCTTTTATGTTCACAAAGCCACGTTTCGATGTGTGCAATGAAGGAACTCTCGCAGCTGCGGTTGTCGTAACTACGACATTTTGAAACTTCCTCCATCTCCATAACCCAGACATCATACTCCAAATTTATAGTCTTTTTTCACGAATTTCTTCAACGGCATGCAATTGAGATGCAACGAATGAGAGAATGAATCAAGAAACGTTTTCAACAATTGGGATCTTTGTATAGTAGTACACCCAAGTGCTATATACCTTGAGAATCATGTATCTGATCCATAAATCTATCCAAATTAGGATTATATGCGTCTGGTGCATACATGAAATCCGGGAATTGTGGCAGAAAAAAGGGATTGCGTTGAGAAATTGAAGAAATTTTGACAAGCGAGGGGAGTATTTCTAGGTGGGAAGCAAAGATTGTGATGATTGGAACCAACGGGAATCGCTCTAAACTCTTGCTGCTTTGTTTTCATTTTTCTTTTTCTGTTTTCACTTTTAGTGGAGTACATAAACAGCCCCTACACTACATAGAAACTTGCAATTTGGTCTCATAGTAAATTATTTTTTGTTTGATTATTTTGTCACAATGTACTTTCATTCTAAAATGGATTCATCAAACTGGGCAATTTAAGACAAAAAAAAAAAAAAAATCATTTTATATACAATCATTCTATTAAATAAAGTTATGACAATTATCATATAAACCATGAGTTAGTTCATTAGAAATAAAATGATTTAGAAAGTTGTAAATAACTGATTACATCATTAAGCCATTTTGTTTTGAGTCGGTTAAAAAGAATTACCTATATAAATAAATATATTACAAAAATAAGTATTAACACAATAATTCAATTTTGAAGAAAATATAAGGGCATCTTTGTCACAAATCTTTTGAGAGAGTTTTTAGTTTTTAATAATAATAATAAAAAATTGCAACAAGAGCCTTTAGTTTTTATTTTAAACAAAAAATTTCATGTTTAAAAATTTCAAATCCAAAAACTAATTCAAGTAGCATTTTGTTTTTATTTTAAACAAAAAATTTCAAATCCAAAAACTAATTCAAGTAGCATTTTGGAGGTTTCAGTTTTTAATTTTTTAACTATTTCATATTTAAAAGTTTTTTGTCATTCAGATACCAGAAGAATTCTTATAAATATATAATACTGACATTCATTAATTTTAAGATTGTTTTCAAGGACACGGATGAAAAAAAGAATTCCATTTTTGAATTGGGTGTTTTACGTCTTTATCTTGGATTTCAAACAGATGTTAAAAGTTCATTGTTTCTTGGGTCGATTGACTGAAATAATTTTTTTTTTGAAAATAAAATTGACTGAAATAATTAGTTTCTTGTGATATGTAATTATTATGGACTAGTATTTTGCTAGTCTTTCTTTAATAAAATCCACCGATTAGTTGTTAAAAAAATTATTTTAAGATGATGTCAAGTTGTCAACTGTGAAATCATAACTATATACTCTAACCCTTTGGAAATAAGTTTTGTATGAACATGTTTCGTTTGCCATAATAAAATAGATGGGTTACCAATAATCAACTTCTTTATAATAATATTGGATATGTAACTTGAAAATCAATATATACCTAATCTAATATAAATAAATAAATAAAATTATGTATGAGTGTGCCCAAATATATGTATATGTATCTATGCATGCATATACACATGGTTTTTTTTATAATCATTACATCATTTAATTGGTATGATATACTTTATTAAGTATAGGTAAATACTATAATTTGTGGCAATGGAGTATAATAAATATTTAGGTAACCAAAATTAAAGACGTGCTTTCATGTTGAGAATTCACATTAAAATATGTTTTGTCAAAGAAACCCTTAGGATGCCTCAGTAGTCAAATACCTACCAACCAACTATTCCCATGATTGCCGCATACAAGTTACAATCTGACTCCTATTTCAGAGGCTTCATACCCTGCATATTTATTTTATACCAAAAACTTAGGCTTAAATAAAATGTGAGAATATTATTTGATTTAAAGAAAAAAAAAAAAGTGTTATGAGAAATTAAATATACTCCTACATTTCTTCCTAACCATGTAAAATAACGACAAGTGTCTTAAAATATTATTAATTTTATCAAAATGTGACACTTGTCACCATTTCACATGGGTAGGAAGACAAATAGAGAGAAAGGGTAGGGGGATATCTAATTTCTCATTTATTAATTATCATGATAATATGGTGGATTTTGATTATACCTTAGATGCCCGGAACTCATTAACCGCTTGTCTAAGAGAATCGTCAGACAAAATCAGACGTGACAGAGCTCCGGTGCTTAAGCTGCCAATCACCATCACACGCCATTAGACCAAAATGAGGGTAAATTTGTAAAAAACCAAGGTCTCTTTTTCCTGACTTTTTCTATTAAGTCAAATACCCTTTACCCATACATAACTTAACAAATTAAGTCATGTCCCTATTAAGTCAAAAAAAAGAAGCATATATGCATAAGAATGTTGCAATATCCTAAAAAAAAATACCACATACCCCAATTTCTTTGCAGCATCAGCCACGGAACCATCAACTGCAAAAATAAGATCTAATAAAGCTTGCATTCCCTGAGAAGAATACAGCAAAATGTGTTACATAAGTCACAAACTTCTCCATACTTTCATAGTACAAACTAAAAACTCATGAGAAAGTAGATCTGTATATACCAAAACGAACTTTGGGTTATTATGCCCAATTTGAGGCCCACAATCCGATCCTCTTATAGTTGACTTTGGTGGAAGAACTTGAAGAAGCTCAGGAGGAGGTGTGTATGTTTCAAGATCTATACTGTTCCTGACTAGTCCAAACCAACAAAGGAAATAATGAAATATACATCAATTAATAAGTAAGTAAAATATGTAACATTAAGCTGCTTTTGTTACATTTACAAGTTTATTAGGGAAATTTGGTGTTATTTATTCAGTATAATACTTGAAAGGAACATTTAAAAGTTTGAAGACTACAAGGTGAGACAATAAAGATAACATCTACCTTTAAGAGCTAGCAGACTACGTAGTCGAGTTAGGGCAGATGCCCTATTTTTGTGCTGTGATCTATCTTCAGATGCCTATAAATTAATTATAAACACCACAATAAAACTAAACTTCATGAGAAACAAAACCAACATGCACAGAATGAAATAATCAATTAATTACTCTGAGAACAAAAGTGATACGCATCCCTTCACAAAAAGAAGTCACCTGTGACTCTCTAGGCTAATGAACAAACTTCTAGATTCAATATTGAACAAACTTCTGAATTCAATATTGATGTGCATTCTGTAAATTTTACTTATACTTTACTTTGTTACAACTTACAATCACCTCCTCCATCCTAAAACAAACTTTAGTCGGATACTCAATTTTCTTAGTATAACTTGTGTATGTATTATCTCCAAAATGATTATTTCAACCCTCAAATCACTTTACATTATGTCAATCTTAAATTTGAAAAATAATAGCTTCCAAATTCCAAAATAGAAATTGCTGCCTTGTTCTTCCTTACGAGGATGCAGATAGTATGCATTAAAGTGATGATTACAAGGAAATGTTTGAAATCAATGTCAAATTGGAACCGAATTCTGCTAATCAATTTACAAAAATGAAAAAGAAATTGAGAAAACCGAAAATTAATGATTATTATTAACCTGCGCAATAATACCGGTTGGGATATGCTTGAGACGAACAGCAGTCTCACGCTTGTTACGGTGCTGACCACCGGGACCGGACGATTTATAGGTATCCATCTCACACTGACTCATCAGTTTCTCGTCGGACATCGACAACAATTCCCTGCCTCCATCAGTATTTGAACTCGAAATCGGAGGAATCTTATCGACGCTGGTGGTGTAATGGAACAACGAAGTCCGATTTGGTGCAATCGATGTGGTATCGTTACCCTTGATGATGATACCGAAGCGGATTTGAAAACGTCGGAGTGGTACCGGAGCTGCCGGCGACAGCGCCGTCGTTTTTGGCCATACTTTCACACACGATTTTACGAGGTGAAAAGCCATGAGGAGTTTGGAGTTCGTTCACCTGGATTAGAAACGACGAGAGAAAAAGCCAATAAACATGAGCATGCTTCACATGTTGTACTATGTGCATAATAAAGTGTACACTGCCTTTACACTCCGCAATTTTTCAATAATATATCATAATTAACTTGATTAGTTTCATTTACATTTCGAATTATGCATAACAAACATGTTTGGATTTTGTTTATTCGAGATAACCAAATACATAACTTATTTCATTATGCTACAAATACACGAACAAAAGAAAAAAAAAAAACACCAACAAAAGATAACCATAAATGTCCACAACTGTAATTTCTGTTTATTCCCTTTCCTCTTTAACAAAGAATTGTTCCACGTTTCCATAAAAATAAAATTAAAAAACAAAAAGGAGAGACTCATATCCAAGAAAAAAAATGAAACAAAAAGAAAGATAACTATACTACACTACACTCAGATCGCTCTTTAGAAACAATTGTCCCTTCCTTTCGTCATCAATGTAGTTAAAATTTTGACCAAAATGTCAACTGCATGTGTATATAAAGAATATTTACAACTTTGCCACCCATCAAGTGCTGCTAGCAACCTCGGCAGCACGTTGCCTCATCATCTCCATAACCGCCACCCTCCGACGGCTATCCGACTGTTGTTGCAGCCTTCTCAAATGTTCATTTAAATCTCTGTATCCAAAATAATATAAAAAAAAAAAGTCACAATACAAAAACAACTAAAAACATACTTTCTTCAAATAAACACAAACAAGCACCTGCAACGTGGGACATGACATTGAGATTCTTTACAAGCGCGAGCATGAAGTCGAAGTAAATGCCACATTTTTTTACAAAGAAGACAACCACCTGAAGCCCGTGTCTTACAATTAAACCCGTGTCTGAAAAGCCCTTTCACTTTGCGACAATTCGGATACTGGCAAAGTGCCGATCCACATTGAGCCGCATGCACCAAAAGATCAAGCATTTTCCTAAGCTGTAATTTTCAAATTAATAAACTCGGTTATCAAAATCGTAAAAAACAAAATCTCCAGGGTAAAAAATGAAAATATAATATACCTGTAAAACTCGTTGTTGTCGGGCTTCTTTATTTTGTCCATCGCGTTCAGCAATGGAAGGATGGTTTGTCAAGTTATGAGGATGATTGATTCCTACATAACATGCATTGCAGACATCGAAATCGGGACAAAGCTCGCACCGCCAGCCTTGTCCCGTTTCGATGTCCAGGTGGCATTTGTTACATGATGTAACAAATGCCGGGGCGGTTGGATTGTGAAGGTGATACAAAACCATCATTGATGAATGTTTTGCACGCCGAAGAGTGTCATATTGGTAGTGGTTTCCTTGGCAAAGACTCAAAAAAGCCTGTCGAGTATCGAAAAATTCACTCTCCAGAATCTCGTCTTTGTCTTTTGTATCTGTTGGCACACCGTTGATTTCGATCTGCAAGTTTATTTATTTACAATTTTTAACCTGATTCAAAAATATATATATTTTATACGGAAATGTAACAGTGAAAGTAACTAACGGGATATAGTGCATGCTTCTCCCTGTGGTTAATAGGATGTTTTTCTCTCTCATCAAGCGTTTGTTCCATTTCGTGACACCTGCAAGCTCATTCACAATCATTGGGATTATAATTTTAATAAATATAAGGAAACCAACATTTGTTATAACTTATTATAATCTAGTGTTTGTTGAGACCACTAAAGTAGCTAGTAGCTAATAAGCTAATTTTTTAAAACCTAATTGATAGGCTCCGAGAGCTTTTTCACAAGTTTTCCAGATATACACTTAATATGCTAAAACTTTTTTTACAATTTTGTTTTCACATGTTTTATAACACTTAGTTTTTTACAATTTTTTTCAACATTTGTTATAACTTTTTTTACAATTTTCTACTTCTTTTACATCTTTTTTTTTTGTTTTTTACATATCCGTTTTCATGCAAAAAACTCATTTTTTACATATTCAGTTTTACAAATTTGTAATAAAATTAATTAAAAAAAAAAACTAAGTTGTAGAAAAACTTTATACAAAAAAACTGTAAAAAAAGTTGGGCAAAAAGTTGTCAAAAAAAAAGGTTGTAGAAGTTGTAAAAAAAAAAGTGTGATCAATCTGAGACAACGTTAATGGTAGTTGCCTTTTAATATAATAAAGTATGTAGATTGATAAAATATAGACATCTGAAATAGTTCGTTGGCCAAATTTGGTGTTACCCATTTTTAATTATATATCTAAATGTCCTTTTATTTTATTTTACAGTTGTCATCTAGTTTATCAGCTACTTTTTAGTTTTTACCAAACACTATTACTTTACCAGCTAAGCACAATCTAAAAAGAAATAGATTAAATTATATTTTTGGTCCCTAAGTATAGTTCATTTTTTCAATTTTGGTCCCAATGAGTTTTCTCTTGCAATTTTGGTCTTATTTGAGGTTTTTGGTCGTTGTTCCAAGTAAAATGAGTATATTTTTTGGACGAAAATGGCAAAAATCAGCTACACTGAGGGACCAAAAATGTAATTTAGTCAAAGAAATATTATGGTTACCTATCACATAGACGAAAATTCTTGCATTGGTGACAAACCCAGCGCTTTCCAGACACCATTAGAACACAACAATGAGTGCACGCAGGTTGCAAGTGAACCATAATGAAATCTTCCTTCATTGGGGAAATCAATTCACCAAGCTGTAAAAAACGTATCACACATGAATAAGTAAAAATAAAAAAAGAATCTCAAGGCAAGATAAATATGAATATTTATTACTTACCCTATGCATGAGTAGAAGATCTTTGGAAAGATCGGTTTGACCCGAGGCTTTTAGGGCTCGTTTTGTTATGGGTTTTTTAACTTTAATCGACCCTTTTTTGTTTAACTTTCTTCCATCTTCTTCTTGACCAAGTTGATAGATTATGTCTTCAGCAGCACCAGGCCAATAATCCCCATCAAAATATGGCAATCTGGTTGCAGTTACTTTAGCTTTACACTCACCAGATGATATAAAGAAGTGGTCATATAAATTAGTAAGCTCAGCCACAATATTTTCCTTCATCGCCTTCCTTAACATAGCCAAATACCTGATACGAAGTACAAACAAAACATAACAATAACATTATTTAAATGTCAATAATGAAATAAAATGGATATCTATCTTAATACTCACCATTCTCTTAGTTTATCAGACTTTGGTGTCTTTTGGATTTCGGGATGGCAATATAAAATATAGTCTTCACCCTTTAATGGAGGGCAAGCCCATATATAGCAACTTGTGAAACCACGTAATTTACAGTATTCTAGATAACCAATCTGAAACAAGAAAAAAAATGGTGAAAAATATTGACTTTAAAGAAAAATGGAGTAAAAAAAAATAATAATAAATACCAGAATTTCATGATATACAAAGGTGCGAAGTGCCTCTCCTGTTATGGTTTTAATATCTGGTCTGAAGTACTTAACAGAATCCAAATAAGAAAGATAAACACGGCGATGATTTGGGTTCTGAGATTCTGTCCCAAATTCTTGCACATACATCCCAAATAGACATACTTCTACTCCTTCAATCTTCTGGAACAACAAAACTACCTTGGATTTATACCCAAACTCCTTGGGATAATTTTCATCTTCAAACATTTCAACAAATCTTTGTTTCACTTCCAACTTCTTGTCAACAGACGAGACAACTCTGACAACAAGCGATTCAGCTCCAGAAACCTGATAAAAAACAAAAACATACCTTTTAAATGTATCACTGAGATTATAATATCAATTTATAAGATGAGGATGAGCTTCAGCTACCTACCTCATCATAAGTTCTCCCATGGAACCTTGCTCTTTCCATTCGTTCCTGTTTCAATCTCTTAAACAGCCGATTCTCTATATGATCACTGAGAATTGTTCGAGGCAAATCTTTTGCACCAAGAACCGAACTTTGAGGTAGGGGAATCCTTTCTCCTTTTTCCACTTCTTCTATGTAACAATTTGGACAAGTGTACTCTGCTTCTCCTCCATCGTTTCTTTTACCATTAAATAATGCGCATATTTGATGTTGCCAGGCTTCACATTTGTCACATTGAACCCACTGTTGTAATAAAAAAAAGAAAAAAGATGGATTAAAAACTTATTATAATAAAACAATGATATAGATATACTTATTAAACAATATGTACCCATTCTTCCGTCTCTTCGTCGTTTTTCTTTTTCTCCATTCTTGACTTTAGAATATTAGTTCCATCAACATTTACGGTCTCTCCACGTGTCTCATTATAGCAGGGAATACAAAAATAATGGCGGGTGTCACCGGTTCCAATGGTGTAAAACATTGCATTTCTTTTGATACGAGCACCACAAGGTGTGCAGTATATAGGTGGTGGTTCAAAACTTAGCTTTTCAACTGCACATAACTGACAAGCATTCTCGTTCATTGAACTCTCCATACCTTGATTCTTTTCCACCTTTGCTTTACTCTAAAAGTAACAATATAAATTACAAAAATAAATGAAATTTTAGGAAAACATAAGAATAAGTAGAAACATGAGTGTAAGTAATATTCTAATCTGGAACTCTGGATATCTGACCTGGCCCACCCACTGTCTGAGACCTGCAATATGTTCCCGAATCTGCTCCGGAGTAAACAATTCCATCATTGATACTCCCTTTATTTTCGGCTTTCCGGACTTTGTTACACCACAAGTTTCCGATTCCACCTCTTTTTCAGTCTTAACAAACTCCACACTTTGTATACTTTCAGACTTCTGTTTTACAGAAGTTGCAGGGAGATCTGTTTTGACTTCAGACTTTATAGGAATAACAGCTTGATGTTCTTCAACCGGTGCATCTTTAAGAGCTTCTAGGGTATTAGAGATGGGAATTGGTACGTTGGAATTATCAATTCCGGCAGGTAGTGATTCTGATGGTGGTTCGATCTTAATGCGTTTCATGGGTGGGTGTAAAGCTTCTGAAGTTTCAACCACAGATGGACTCATTTTCATAGCATGTATGCCAGCATGATCACTATGGTGATCAGGTGGAAGACCAGAATTGGAATTGGAATTGGAA